AATATAAAAGATCTTATGTATAAAACATAAAACTTTTACATTTTAATAAATCTTAAAATAAAATTCTAAGAATGAAACTAACACAGCAAGTGCCAGAATATGATGTTTTCTGCAAATATAATCATTTCATTTATGGATCATAAATCCATAAACTGCTGCGATGTACGTGTTTTGTATCCTATAAATTAAAATCAACTATTCTACCTGAATACAATAAGGAGTCCTGGAAATAATAATTTTATGTGGCGATGCACAAACTAAAAAAAATAAAACAAGGAATGTGATGCCAATAATTATATATCTAAATCATGAAACGTAAAAAAAAAATGTTTTTATTGACATTAGCATCTTTCTTTTTTCTTAATCAATTATATTATGAAATGAAATGCTAGAAAAAAATATATAAAATCCTTCAAACTTCCAAAAGGTTACTCCGTGATGGCAATTCCTAAAATTCTTCGATTGCCTTTTAAAAAAACTGGAGTTGAGTAATATATTTTGTTTATAATAATCTATATAATATAACACTAATTTTGATAATAATTAGGATCAGATTGGAAGAATTTCTTCTGGTTTTGTGCATTTAACTCTTTATAACACTGGCTTAAAGTACAGTGAATGTTAAAACAAACTCACATACATAACAATATTTATCGTCATTGACACGTTGTAAGGAACAAAAAATGATACATTGTAATTCAGCATTAAAAAGATTGAAGAAAAATGAAACTCTCAAAAATTCTCATTTATTTCAAATAATAGTTTTGAAATATAAAATCCAAATAAATCTTTTTTTAAAATTCCCCACTAAAAGAGATCTATTCTGAGAAATTTGTTCACAACTTTATTGAATTGATTAAATTTATAAATTATTATTTATAATTTTACATTCAATTTAATCAATTAAGTAATAATAAAAACATTTGAAAGATAGCAATTATCCTAATTTATTTATTTTTCTCTACACCAACGTTTCAACACTAACAAGATTGAATTATATATATATATATATAAATCAATTTAGTTTAAACATTAAAAACATGAGTAACACTGTGATCATTTCCAGAAATTTGGATATAAATAAAAATAAAACATCTGTATTTTGAATGAGTTATTAGCAATTACTTTATTTAAAAAAAGAAAAAAATCCAACAACTAAATCTTACCCGCACTAACATCTCTACAACAATGAATTTTCTCTCTTCCTCTGAGAGTAAGTTCTTTTTTAGGTCTAAAAATTAATTTTTATGATCTGTGACATAGAAAGTAAAGAATTTCTCATCTAATAATGATTGGTTTGTAAGAAAAATAAAGTTTGGCTGATTGTTCCAAACAACGAATGACTCGTTTTTTTTTTTTTAGCTTAGTCTAGCAATTAACTAATTTAAGTACAAAATCAAGCAAAATTATTAACATAATAAAGAAACTAAAGCTTTCCTGATTGACTCTGATTTTTATAGATGTGGTACCATAATTGATAACATCTGAAAGTAAAGCCAATCCTCTAACTTAACAAAAATACAAATACAACAGATTTGGACAACCTATGAAGAGACGATTTTAGAGGGATTGGTATCTTGTTCAGTTGAATAGTGTAGTCTGAATACAATATTATATCATTAAAATCATACATTCATACATCATAAAGTAATTCAATCTATAATACATTCAGATCACCATAGATTAGAAAATGTAAATCAAACACCAACATATATGTCATTTAATACTACGGTATTAAAAAAAATGAAAGAAATAACTTGATCCACTTTACTCCAAAAAATTTAATATCCTGATAAATAGTGTTCTAAAAAAAATAACAATCAAGAAGTCAATCTCATGTAACTAGATGGAGAATAAATATAGTTATAATTATAAAAGGGTGTCTGTCATTACAAATTTACATTAAATGTACAGTATGCATTAGCAAAACAAAAAAATAAATAAAAATATTCAACACTTAACAATAATATTGTAAATCATTTCATTTTATTTAATTAAAAACTGAAAAAGTTATGGCAAACATAAATTTCATAGGGGTAATTCAATATGCACACAAAGGTGGTATGGGTTAGGGATTAGACGCTACAGAATTCTCAAAGAAAACTCATTTTCATGACAACAGTGAATGCCAATCCAACAAAGATGACCAGAATAGTTTATTTCTAAACATTCACAATCATGCTTTAATGAGTAAGACGTATAAATACTCAGAAGTGTTGTATTTAGAATGAACAAAACATAAAACACCAACTGTGCATCGCCACTAAATAATCAACTGACAAATAAAAAATTTAGGAAAAGATAAAATAAAAAAAAGATTTGACAATGAAAAAGGTCTTTTGGCTCATTATCTAGAAAGAAAAATAATACCTTGTGAATACATACTTCTAAGCACCTAATCACAGATGTTATAAAAATTTTAGATTAAAAAGGAAACATTTTTAAAAATTCAAGCTGTTCACAACCAGTTTTTACACATACAACATACACACACACACATATATATATAAAACACAAATACATAAAGGAAATAGATCACAAGTTGGCTTAGATTACAGATAAATTTAAGTTAAATGAATTGTCTGATTTGTTTGAGCTAAGAATGCCCGAGCACAACTAACATTTTTTAGATTTGCTTTTTTTATAAAATCATTTAATGTAAGAGAAATTTTAAATAATGATCTATTACAACTTATATTAATAAGTTCCATGGCAAAAAGTTATACTTTCAAAAGAATAGAAAAACAATCAAAAATGAAAATTTCATTCAGTTCGAAACTGATTTATAATCTTGAAAAAATCAAAGTTAAATTTTAATTTCAAATACTGCTAAATAGAATTAAATATGCAATCGGATTCAGTGAAATGAAAAACTACACCTTCTGTCGATGTTTTATGAGAAAAATCTTCAATACATTTTTGACCAAAAAGCCAGATTTTTTGGCAGAGAAGACAAATTTTTTTCAAAAAAAAAAAAGAAAAGAAATGAATTAAGGATTTTTACTAAAGAGCAATAAATGTTTAACTACAGTAGACATTTTTTCACAAAACCCTACTAATGAACGAGTTAATACACATAAAAAAAAAGATTAATCTGACACAACAAACAGACATCTTTAATATAACACAAAATAAGTTAATGTGAAAAGAAGCAGCCAATGGATAAGAGAATGTGAATAAAAAATACAGAATGGGCAAAAGCAATGAGCCCACGAAATTCAGTTAATAAAGCATAAATAGATATTTCCATAAGAAGAGGATGGTGTAGGCTTTAAAGCTTAAGATGGGATGTGAAACTGAACAAGAACCAGGTAAAATTAGCATTTATCGCATGCAATTTGAATTTATCAAAAAGAATTTACTTAATATTAGCCACTCTACAGATATAGAAATGATACCTACAATTATCTTAGTTCGATCGACAAGAATATTACACAAATCTATAGAGCAGCCAAATAAGAATATTTGTATTATATTATATTAAACATGAATTTCTACTTTTATACCCAAGACCAGGACTTTCAACAATAGTTTCATAGTTTCTGTGGTGATTGCAAGAGGGTCTCATTTTATCATCATATACTACAAAAATAAAACGTATTATAAATATTTGTTTTTTTTTCTAAAAGACAAAAATATATTAAAAAAAAAAACATCCATCGAAAATAATTATTATTAAGAAAAGGGAGGAAAACATCCTTGGTTATCAAAGAGAAAATTATTGTCTAACTTGAATTTTTACCGTTATATTTTACAACATTTCTTAGTTTTGTTTCTCTTATTCATCCTTCCATTACCAAGTAAGCCCTTCAGTAATGACTCCCTTTGAATAATACAAAGATTAGGTTTCCCCTATTATCTGAGCCTTCAGTGGTGAAATATCAGCATAACAAGAGCTTAAAACATGTTCTATATCTGAATTGACTACAATCTTTATATTCTATTACTGGTATATCTTGAATATTTAAAATCAGCATTAAATCCTCCTTCCTTCTAAAATATAATTTTCTGTTTATTCACTACTTTAAGGATACCCTAAAACTAAGATGTCAGTTTCCAGCAATATTGATGCTTGATAATAGATACTCAACACACTTTCAAAAGAACATATCGGTTATGTGGGAAATAAACAGATTTCTCCATCATAAAACGTTAATGAAGCTAATCCTACAGAATAAAATAAAATATTTTATATTATTTGTTAAGGCTAAATTATTTTGATTCCAAGGGGGCGAAAAAAAAAAAAAAAATCCACAAAATAACCAGTTAAAAAAAATATTAATCAAACATTCATGCAGATTAAGGTTAACTAAAAACCTGGAACAGTTAAAGCAAATTTAATATTTTAAATAATGGATCCCCATGCCTGTAATGTCATTATTTCCTGTATCGCCAGCACATTTGCTGATTGCCAACAATAAATTAGCAGGCCCAAATACATTTTTTATAGACAAAAAAAAGTAATGGAAATTCAGACTCAATGAAACAAAAAACAGCTTAGCATATAAATAAATTAAATATACTTAAAAAAAAATAAAACTCATAAAAATTACGCAGCTGATTGAAAGTAAAAAAAAAGTTTAGACTCCTCGAAGGATGAAAACTGAGATTTTCTAACATATAGAATAAAAATTCATAAATAAAATAAAACAACATTTAAAATGGTGATAAAACTAAAATTTTCCATGAATAAAAAGTAATACAGCTTTAAAAATGAAAACTTCATCACCCACCACTTTTGCTTTCCTAGTAAAATGAAAATAAATATATAAGTATTTGTTAATGTTTAATAAAATAAAATTATGTTATTAATTTCAATAAAATTATATGATAGAAGAGAAACAAAAAAATACAAGCAATAATTTAATTTTTTTTTACAGTTAATGTGATTTAATAATTATAACATAAAATAAATTTAAAAGATTTATTAATTGTTAAGCACACAGTAAGCTGAGTTGAGATTTGACAGCCCCACAAAACCAACCACCACAGCAATATACCTCTCAAATGGCTCCATTGGTCCTGGTCTTGGTTATGGATGTTAATATGGAAAGTGCTCGAACCATTATATCCATCGGTTGCCATAGCTTCAACGTTCAGGTCATGCAAGGTCTTTGGCACGAACTCCAACTTTGGTTTGTTAATCGCTTCCTCCCTCCTGCAAATCAGAATAAAAACAATTTCTAAAAGATAAGTAATAAATATACTCCTATATTTATTTTTGCCTTTGCTTTGCCCAGACTTTTAGGTTATTATATATCAATTGATGTTTTATTTTGTGCAGAATAAAAAAAATATTAACTATGGCATTGAAGGAGTTATAATTGATCATAAATTACAAAAACCAAAAGGTGCTTCTGATAAAGTAGGCTAAGTAAATTTTTGTTATGAAAAAAACAAGTTAGTTTCGTTTTTAGTGTCCTTTCAAACTATTAAACACGAATTTATACATAAATTAAAACATGCTAAGTTAAGTACTTGATTTCCTTATAGGAAGTTGTTAAGTGCTGCTAACTAAAGCATTCATAACTTCCCTGAATTTTCTTCAAGTTCAACATCAGTACAATCGTTGAAAAGCTGAATAACTGCTCTGCCAAATCACATCACTTAATAACTTTTAGATAAAGCAGTAACTTCAATATTATTATAGATAATAATAATAATAACTTTTAGATTTCATTCCTTTTTAAGTTAGAATTAAACGAAACCTTTTTGATCAATTTTATTCTATATCTTTCTATCTAAATAGAGGTCAAATTTGTACCATTTGATATAGCATATAGAACCCTAAATTTCTAGTGATTTTCGTATGAATACCTAGAAACGTTGAAAAGTTAAACCACTTAAAAAAAAAAATGTTTATGTTTGCTTAAATGTTAGAAGTGAAAAATATCTTGAATGTTTTTTTTTTTATTCATTAAAAGAAACTTTTGACCAACTAAATCTTGCGCTGAAATGAAAATAACCCGTTTTCATAATTTGGTTAAAATATTTTTGTCTTCACCATAAGAACTTCAATATGGTAATTAGTATGGTAATTTGTAAAATCTTAAATAACATAAATAATTCAAATTAAACATTACTTTTCATGTAGATTTTCAACAACTGTCTGCAAAATTTCAGTACACTGCCTGTGATATTCCACAAGAGCTTCTGCAAACGTAGTCAACTGAGATATTTGTTCAACCTTAATAAAAATAAAAACTCTGTTATCAAATATTTTTTTAAGCATATAAAAATTACCAATATATTTGAGTCTTAAGAATAAAAGAATGGTTAAGAAGTATGAAAACTAGTAACAATTAAAGTTAAGAAGTTCAAGAGTTTCGTGGAAAAGTTACAACAAATTAATATATAAAAAAATAGACAAAACTGTTCTAAACTGTAACTCGAGTTTCTGGGAAATTTTTAATGAAAATAAATACAAAAATGTAGGTGATTGCATTAGCTATTGTTTTTTATATTATTTTGAATTTTTTGATCACTTCAATCAATTGAATTATTTGTAAAAATTTAAATAAAAATTTTAAATTTTTGGGGTCACTATTAAATCTTCCATTAAAAAAATATATACAACAGAATTGGGTGAAAATTATCCGATTGACGAATGACGACTAAATTTTAATTCACATATATATTCAAGACTAATGAATTACTTTTTTATTCAATAGTCGTGACTAACATTTGCTCTACCAGACCTCCAGTACGTTTAAGTAAACATGCAATTATATTCAGCCCTTAGGATGGATAAGGGTTTTTCCTTAGGTGGTCTTTTAATTTTTTTTAATAGACAATTGTTTTGGTTTTGATTGTTTTTATAATTATATGATTTAAAATTTAATAATTGAAGAAAATAATATCTGTTTATTGCTAAAAGTATAGTTCAATTCTAAGCTCATTTTAATGAATTTATCCAAGACCTCCATGTCATCTGTTTGGCTGACGTATCATATTAAAAATGATAGAAATTATCTTTTTCTGTTAAAGATTATATTTTCAGAAAGAATATATAAACACTTTTATATTTCGTATTTAATTTATTTTCTATATCATATTGCAATAACCAAAAGATACACCAACTGGCATAAAAGTATACCATTTACTATTTTTAACTTTTTTGAAATATAAAACAGAACGATAAGTTGGAACTGTTAACAAGCTACCTTTTGATGGTCCGATTTCTAGAAAAAGATTCTCCTCAGCTCAAACTATAGAACGGCAAGACAAATCATTAAGATCTAGAAATATTGTATATTTAAAAAATAAAGGGTATTGCAATGACACAAGTTTGGTTAGTATCAGTAGAAATTATGCACCCCAAAACCAATCGATCACACTTCGAAACTCATTGATTTATTAGTCTTAGTGTAAGTTATTATTGTTTTTGATTTTTGCACAACAGGATTTAATTTAAGATGATGAAAACAGAAATCTGTGAATGGTTCAGTCGCAATCTATAGAATCTTTCACATTTACATATAAGGATAATCATAATTTTAAATGTATTATTATTCGGTTTTTATTCAATTAATTATTTATTTGAATAATTTTTCATCCAATTGATATTTTAGTCTTGAATAAACAACAAAATATTTCTTCTGTATTTTTATTTGTATAAAATTTTAGTCGTTTTTAATAAATATATGTCATGGTTAAAATTCCGACTAAAAATTTAGTCTTTTTTTTTTATCCAAACAAAGTTTTAATCGATTTATGCCAAACTCTTGTATACAATAATAGATAGTCAACAAATATAAATAAATATAATATATTGCCAATGTTCATATAAAGGTCAGAATGGTAGACATTTTTATTTTAAATTTAAATTATTTTATGAATAATTTTTCTTATTAAAATATTTTAAAACTATTGAAAAGAGTTAAATAAAAATATTATGATTTGTTGACAAGGAAAAGGAACTAAGCTTAATCCTTATTCAATTTTGAAGTATCTAGGTATGGGATATCATCAACAGAACTATAATCCAATTAGTTATATTTTTAAAATAATATAGTTCCAACAAATTACTATACAACTTAATTTGATCACAAAATACTGTAAGCAAAAAAAAGTAAAATAGTAATAAATGTCACTTACATCATTTTCCAGGAGGTTGAACATACCCATCTGTGCAAGGTGCAAAGATTCAGCAAACTTCTCCTCAGCTTGCTTGATTTCATCATCTGTAATATTAGACCCTGGTTGTGGTTTACACCGATTATAGCATCGGCAATAGATTCAGGGTAGAAACAGGGCAAAAGCAAAAAAATAAATGAATAAAAAAATAAATCAAAGCAAAATAATCAATCAAAATATAAAAAAATATTAACTATAACTAAAGAAAAAAATATATAAAGAAAAATAATTAAAAAGGGATATGAAATACTAACTAAAGCATATTAATTTAATATTTAAAAATTTTAATATATAATAAATTTATAAAAGAAAAACTTAAATAAAAATGTAGTTTTGAATTTAATAGCTATCAAAGTAGATACAAACTTAAAAATGTAGTGGTAACACTAATAATAAATACAAGGAAATAAGGATGGATTCCTATCAAGTCATCATGTTTTTTAAAAAGGTGTTCAAACTTACAATTACTTTGTCCTTGTTTCGGAAATGGAAAAAGAAAAATATTGTTACCAATATTAACTCAAATATTTTGTATTATTAAATCCTATCATAAATTTGAAACTATGATTTCATAATTACCTTTTGCTTGCTTCCTTCGTTTGCAATCAAAATCCAATCGCCTTCCCTGCAGCTTCTTCCTGTGATGCTGAATAATAAACAATGGTTATTTACACAAATAATAGCTTTATTTGAAAAAAAAAATGTTATCATATTTTTAACTGTTTGAATTATTCATTTATTATAGCAAGTAGCTACTTACAATCTGCACCTTATAAAACATTCAGCATTAAATATGGTCAGGTCAATTAGCCAATTTATAGTGATAGTGGTGATAGGGCATGTCCATAGGACAGGTCTCTGCAGTCAAGGTAGGTAGTCTGCATGTTTAAAGACGACAGTCTCTTGGTCAATGGGTTTGTATTAGTTGAGAGTCTACAGTGAAAGTATTTGAGTGGTGGTTTAGTCAATTGTTAAAAAAATAAAAAAAAAAGAAAATTCCAGACCCTTAGAGTTACAAAGATGAATTAATGAAAAAAGAATAATGATAGAATAAAAATGAGTAGTAACCTCATAATTAGGGAAATAATTGGGTTGAACTTTTTGGAATAAAGTACAAAATTTTGAAAAATTCATTTTGATTAATTTTATTTAAAAATTCGGAAATTTAGAAAAATAATGGAAACAATTTCAAATGGATTGAAAAATTGGAATGATTTTTTTTCATATTATTTCCTTTCACAGTGAATAATAAGTACAATAAATATTTAAAATCAGAGTGAGATGCACCTTTGTAAAATACATTTAATATATTCTGTGTGTAATAAAAAGAGAAATTACACACAAAATATATTAAATTTTATTGACGAAAATAAATATGCCAAAAAATAAAAAAAATCCTTCTACTTAATATATATATTTAAAATAAAGGTAAACAAAAGTAAAAACAACACTGTTTTTAAATTAAATAATGACTGTTCTATTAGAAAGATTGTAAGGAATAAGATTATTATATGTTAAGTAAAATTTATAATTGGTCAATTATGAAGTCAAGAAAAATTCATCGATTTTTGGTTGATATACACAAACTATGCACCAAAATGAATATCCTAATGATGTTAAGATAATCATTAATTTGGATATTCAAAATAATTTGTTGCTATTACAAATACATATTTTGAAAATAGTATATTCCTTGATTGCATTTTCTCTATAACTACAATACCATACAAATAACAGGAAATGATTATTTTAAAAATTCATTTATTATTTGAGCAACAGGTTCATTGGCAATTAATGGGTTTTCAGACTTAGTTGTGAAACTTATCTTCATCTTTTTAAGAAGTTTCATAAAAATACTTTACTTTCATTTTCTAATCTATTCGGTTTTCCCGTTGAGTTTAGTTCAAATTCATTTTGTAATTAATTTTCATCAAACTTTGATTCATCATTAACACATGATTATTAACTCATAAATCGTGGGGGAAAAAAAAAAAAAAAACATTATTTAAAATTGAAAGAATTAATTTCGTACCATTACTTCCTTGAGGTCTTTGGTTTGCAAGTGATGAAGAGGTTCCAGGAAGTTTTGCTTAGTATTGTCATCAAGGGAATATTTGACATCAGCCATTTGTTTCAATCCTTCGCCCATTTCCAACAATGCTTGACCTAACATATAAAAATTACATCTGAAGCCATACACAACACAAATTGTTTATCAATATACTTTTTATCTGATTTTAAATTAAAACAAAAAGCATAATGCAAAATCATAAAATAAAAAAAATGCTACCAAATATATGTGTCAGTGGAAAAATCCAATACAAATAAATTATCAATAAATCATGGGCAGGATAAATTGAATCTTATAAGTCCATGTTTTAGATTGTACTTACCAAAATAGGAGTCGTCACCGAGTTTTCTTCCATAAGTAACCATGCATTCGCCAAGAGTTCCTTCAGGTTGGGGATATGTGCTCGCTTTTGCTTGTCCACTGAGTTTTGAGATCCCTTTTACGGCAGCCATTTTCGCTCGAGCAGTAGGATTTGGTTGCAAATATTCCTTTGTTTTAAGTTGCAGTTCTTCCACAAGTTCGTAAGTGACATCTGTTTTCTATAAAATTTATTAAAGAAATATTTTAAACAAATATGATGAAAAATTGTCTAACATTACAAAATAAAAACAATACTACTAATAGTAAAATATAAAATAATAAGATAAGGCGATAACGATGAGTTAATATCAATATCAAAAAAGGAATAAGGATAAGAAAGGGGAGTATTGTGGATCATTAATTATAATTATTAATTTTTAATAATCAACAAGAAATGATTTGTTTGATTACTAATTCAATCGATAACTTAGTATCATAAAGATGGTAATTAAATAAAATAAATTACAGGGAAAGAAATTAATCAATTCAATCATTTTATCACTTCTATTAAAAATTTGGAAGTTTATATTAAACGTTAGTTATATCAGGTCCAATAAAATATGTATGCCTTTAATTATAATTTCATATGTAAAAACAACTTCAAAGAAACAAACATAATAATTGCGATGCATCATAATTACGTTGATTCTTTCTTTTTTTTCAATCATTAATTTCCTACCTGTAGTTACTTCTTTGATTAAAAATATAAATTAAATTTTACAAACTTAAGTAAAATCATAGGTATAGAATGATTTTTGCTTAGTAAAGTTTTTTTACTATCAAAACAAAAACAGTTTCAATTCAACACAAACTTAGTTCAGACACAATTGAAGGACAATAAAGAATAGAGTCTACAATTTTTAAGCAGAATCTTTAAAGCAGGTTAAATTCATACCAATATAAACTATATACATCTATAAGAAACCATTATAGATAATATTATTCATCAAATATTACTTACCCTTTCCATGTCCATAAAATCAACATCAAGTTTTGTTCCCTCCGCACCTCCCATCTTCTCTGTCATGTACTGTAATACAACGAGAAAATGAATCAACATATATTGTCTTGTGTATAATAATTATAAAATAGAGATATGAAATGATGATGAACCTTTACCAATCCAAGATTATAAATAATATAAAAATAAAAATTGAACAATAAGATTATTTCAAAAGCATAAATAGCCATATGAAAAAGCAACAACAGTGACTAGATGTGATATGATGGATAATAAAATTTTAATGATTATGGTAATATGTTAAGGCAAGGAAAAAAATCTGGTGCACGCAACACACAATTTGCACTTAACGCTATACTTTAAATGGAAATTATTTTCTGGCAATATAGCACGATTATAAAATTTTTGAAGTAAATTTTAAAAGGAGCTAAAGCTTAAAGATTACAAATAACAAATCATTAAGACCATTAAAATTACAAAAAGTCTTATTTATTATATCGATGGTAGGCCATAAAATACTAGTTACTTTATCTGCTTTTATAAGCCACACAAATTCATTCTTTGAGCCTTTCAGTTGACAGAATTTCTAACTCCAATTTTAAAATTTTTGAGTAATATAAATAAAATTTAATAACAGCAGTTCCTCTCCAAACAATTTTTCTTTATTTTTATGACGTTTCGAGATCACTATCTTATCCCATCTTTAGACAGTATCTCTTACTTCTATCATCTTATTTTTTTTTAAATACTTGCTATAATTTTTTTATTTATACAATTTATCCCTTAATTATATTGTGGACTTAGTGATGTCATTTTAGTGATATTTCTAGTTGGAAAAGTTATATTTATACAGATAGTGAGTAAGTTTATTCCAGAGTAGATGATTGCAGTGTCGAAATACAGGACTGTGAATAAAGGTATAAACTTTGCCACTAGAAACATCACTAAAATTAACAAAAAATAATAAACAATGTTGAAATTAGTGTTAGTCATTCTGTCAACCGAAAGGCTCATATATGCCTAGAGCGATTTGAAAGTACACCTGAATATTTAACCTATAAATCCTTGATTGTAGGAATATTAGTTATTAAACTGTTATTTTCCATTGTAAAGTTTACTAAAATGAAATTTTATTTGAATTTAAAATGAGATTTTCAATGTATTTAAGCTTATAAACATATTCATGAAATATTTATATATTTCAGTTCTTCTTTCACACAAGTACAATGAAGTAGTGTTTCAAACAACGGTATTGGGTTGATTCGATGGATTTTAAATAATGATAGTTTCCAGAAATTATTATTTATATTTTTTATCGTCACTCTCCGTTATCATCTACAACGTTATTTTTTTGATATTATTTTTTATAAAACTCTCCGCTTTCCAACGATATATTATAAGTATACCTTCTGACTGTTTCCGGAGATTCATTTTTTTTTTTTTTTTAAGCTTTTATTATGATATTTACAACTGTATTAGTATGAATACATCAAGTAAATGTGTACATAGGAATATTATCACATGAAACACGCTTGTTGAGAAACTACCCATTGGTAGCACTCTAATAATTTGTCTACATGAGGAGATCACGAGGCCATCTCCTTTTCAGAGGGCTCGGAGGGTTATCAGGAATGGAAGAGGAAGCAAGGTTAGAAACAAGAGGATTCGGATGGTAATGAAGTTTATTATGGAAGGATAGGTATCTGGATTTGGCCAAATCGGAAATATATGGAACATTGAGGTCGAGATTCATTTTCAATCTGGATAAGCATTTTTTTTTTTTTTCAGTTTCCAATTATCATATTCTTTCAAACTACACATTTAACAATTTTTATAGTTAATGCCAATAAAAGAGAATTAATTTTTTTCAAATAAACAATATTAAAAGTACTTTAGAGAAAGACGCATATGGAAATTTAAGCCCTGTAAAGTGAAATCAATGGGGATAAGACCTATATGATATTAAAGACCACTTAATTACACAATGATATACCGAGTTTAATCAAAATCGTTAGAGCCGTTTTTGAGAAAAATGTGTTTCATCGTTGATTTGAAAGTGGCACTTCCGGTAAGCCGATTTTAAGGAAAATGTTGCCTCTCAATCATATACCTATCTTAAATACGTAATATCAGTTTCGTATGACTTTTCGTTTTTGAGCTAGACTGTACAAACACACATACCCGCAAACATACAAACAAACACACACACATACACATACGAGCACGCACGCACACACTAAGACCATTTCCGGAAATTGGTTATTTGGACTCAGGACTCAAAACGTGTATTTCCGTTGAAAACTTAGATTAAAAAATTTTCACGATCGCAATACTCACCCTTACTATATATTACTATTTAGGTAAGAGAAAGCAAAAATCAACTAAAAAATATTTATAATTTAAACATTCTTCTCAGGTGCTTAATTATACAAAATAATCAACGCTACACACAAATATCAAATATAGATTAGTTAAGTCCTAGATTCATTTGAATATTATAATAGTAGTATAGCATGATTAGAGATTTTTTTTGTTCAAACCTCAATCTATAGAATATTTTAATTTAAGAAATTATTCGTCTATCTGGGACTGAGGAGGGAGTGATCGATCCTCCTTCAAATACGATGGTTGTTATTTGTCATCAGCTATTTACCAAAGCAATATATTTTTTTTTTAGAATACAAAAGCAGCCACCTCATGGAATAAATAGACTATATTCACTTTGACTATATGGAATTAAGACAGTACTCACTCTCATTGTCGTCTAAATCCAACAATTGCTCAAAAACTGTTATGTCAATCTCGAATGTCAGCAAACATCCAGGAACAAAAAAAACTTCACATAAAAATAATACAACATAGAAATTCTACAGAAAAGCAAAAGAATATTTCAAAGCCATTCTTAGGAAATTCTTTGTTGAAAAGACGTTGATTACATTTTCTCCAATATTCAAAATAATTTATCTGAGACTCGTTTTATTTTGTTATTATCACCGTTGACTCCTGCTGGTCAAATTAGACATACTACCTTGCAAAAGGAGGGGTAATTCAAATTTCTTTTTTTTTTATATTATTAGTAGTGAAATCCAAGGGAAATCCGGAAAAATCCAAGTTTCCGCCCTTGAAAACTTTCTTCGTGAAGTTCTTCACCATTCACAATGGAAGAATTCTGTAATTCCATTTTGAACCTCGTTTAGAGAATTCGGAAGTGTTCCTTGAAGATAATGAGCCATTGATTGGAACGGTAGATGGTAGTAGGGTGGTGTTTTGAAAAGTATGTTACATGGTGGACCAGACCCCTCAACCGTACAATCTCCCCTCACATCCCAATAAATTGCATACAGCTGTAACTATTTATAAAAAAAAATCCAATGTTCCAATGAAAAAAAGCGACCGCACGGTCCTAGAATGAGATTCAAACGTAACAGATTGACGTATTTTCGGTCACTGAGATTCGGCATTTGGCTTAATTTCGCCTTACATTGGCCTTTTATTAAAGCTGAATGGATATATAATAATAAAATATTAAAAAATAATTGGCTTCAGCAATAAAAAAACGCCAGTAAACTCAATCTTTTCAAGTCGTTAAAAATAAAGTTGAAAATCAAGCGTCTTTTGTAAATAAATGGCACCCAATAACGCTCTGAAATAAAACATCTGGAGGATACGTTTCTATTTCTAAAACACTGATTACTTTTTAAAATATTTGCAGCAGTTACTTAGTAAATACACTTAATCGGTGGAAAAGCGACAGTGGCATAGACGTCTAGGGTCCTCTGCCACATCATTAAGTACTCATAAATGGCATACTTATAGTGATATAATTATTTGATTGTATTAAATAATACAAATTAATACAATAGTTTAATTTTCAATTTTTGTACACATAGTTTTTTTCAAAACTTTATTCGTTTAGAAAGCTTGATAGTTCGCTTCCTGTTGGGTTTAGAAAGAAAAAAAATGTTAGAAAAGTTTAAGCTGTTTATGATTGAATGTAACCATTTTTTATCTATGACACTTTAAAAAGGAGATATTTAGCCTAAACCAAAAAAAAATAAAATTAAAATTTCAATGTTTTTTGGAACCCACAAAGGGCTTTCAAGAGCGAAAACTTGGATTTTTTGCATAGCCTCTTTATACCTAACAATATATAAAAAAGAAATTTGAATTACCCGATCTTATGCAAGCTAGACCCCCTGTTTTATGCTAATTTGACTAGGCTACATGGTGCATTTATGAGTGTGTTCCATTCCGCTCTTTTTGCAGCAATCATTTTTGCTTTAGGCAAAGCCTTGCCAGCCATTTTGAACAGATCTGCGCCATGTCTCTCTAGATCTTCTTCTTACTTGAGGATTCCATTGCAAAGCTTCTTTCTTGATGGCACTATTTGTTTTCTTTAAAGTGTGTCCAATGCATTATAAATGTCTAAGAATAAAAAATTCATTTTCTTTCTTTCAAGATTATTTCGATCTGATTCTTTTTCTTTCAAGTATATATATATATATATATATATATATATATATATATATATATATATATATATGTATATTACTAGTTTATGACTCTTAGATGTCTATTATTTCCATTGACCCAATCCAACACAGCAAAAAATGTTTTAATTAAATATAATAGTAAACTTCCTAAAAAGAAACTATGGGGATAGCAGACCATTAGGAGGTAAAGGGAGCTTTTTCCTTAATACAAAGACAACAAAAAACTCTGTTAATTAAGTGATACAGGGCAAAGGGACTAGAGACCTAGAGCACTCAGCTAATGAAGGGCCGCGCTCTGAGTTGCCTGGGCATAAATCGCCGGTGACTAACCAGGTCACAGATTAAAGAAACCGGTCGTTTGCAGGCCATCTCTTGGGATTAGCAGCTCCGTTTGAGCCCTATAACAACTAGGTACCTTTGAAGGTCACAGATAATAATGAGGAGGCCCTATTATTATTGTCACTTTTTAAAAATATTTCGGGTAGATCTACGCCATATAAATAAAAAATATATACAAAATGCATTTGAATATTCAACAAACATCCTTCCCTAAAGTATAAAAAAAAAAAAAACAGC